CAAGGGGGCGGCCCCCCCGGGAGCCACGCCTCCCAGCTGTCCTCTAGACTCCGCTAGTGCGCGACTGTGGGACTCTGCGGCGGGACGGGTGGAGCGTGGCGGGTCCCATCCGAGGAGCATGGGTGCGGGGGCACCCTCCTGAGCCTGCGCGTGGGCACGTGCGTAAGTCCTTGCCACACACCCCACCGCCTGTGCCCCCGCCGCCCCGGGATCTGCACGCTGCCCCTCTGGTTCCCCTGTGTAGTGGAGCTCCGCCGGACAGGCGGGTGACCGGGCAGGGAAGGCAGCTCACCTTCCACGTGCACCGAGCTCCGTGCCCTCTGTCCTTCCGGGAGGAGCCACGGCACAGGACGTGGCCCTCGGAACCCTGCCCCAAGATCACCGGGTATCACGGGCTTGTCCGGGAAGGGACTTTCCCACTCCGCACCTGGTAAACACGGAGCTCGGGGACCAATCGTGTGCAGATGGTGATGTAAATAAAAACCCCACTTTCTCCTCTGCGTCCTCAGAGTGCGTTCTGGTGCCATCCCTGCTGTCCGTGCCCCCCCCGTACCCCCCCCGCCCCCTCCAGCAGAGGTTCCCAGCCACAGGAGGCGAGGTGATGATAGGAAAGAGGTGAGACCTGGATTTCCTGAGCCGGTGCTACGAACTAAGCACTTGTACCTATGGGAAACCATGAGTTCAAACCCAAGAATACCTGACTTCATTGGGTCACAAAGTGGGTGTATGGGAGGGTAAGTGTCCCAGGCCTGGGACTAACTTTGGTCCTTCCTAAGCTGGCTCCTACAACAGAGCCGGTCGTAGAGGGAACCAAGTCAGCAAGAAATTATAGGTTGCTCTCTGTGCTCAGGGCCCGGGGCTGGTTACTGAATTATACCGATGTTTCATGTTTTCACGTGTACAAAGAAAGGCAGACAAAAAAGCCGCCAACCTGCTTGCCCACCTCCTCCCTTCAAAGCCTTGGGTGAGTCCCAGTTCCTGCTCCCTAAACCACCAGTGCTCGTCTCACACCCCGCCTTCACCCTTCTCATTCCTCCCCGAGTGCTTGTGGAAGTCAGAGGACAACTTGCAGAAGTCAGTTTTCTTCCTCCATCCTGTGGGTCCCTGGGATGGAACTCAGGTCACTGGGCTTGGTTTCTTTGAAATATGGTTGGGTTTTTTTGTTTGTTTGTTTTGTTTTTTTGGTCTTTTTGAGACAGTGTCTCCCTGTAGCCCCAGCTGTCCTGGAACTCACTATGTAGACCAAGCTGGCCTTGAACTCACAGAGATTGCCTGCCTCTGCCTACCAAGTGCTGGGATTAAAGGCCCACACCACCACGCCCGGCTGAAATATGTTTTAAGGCCTGGGCTCATACAGCCCTGGCTCCTCAAGAGATCCAGGATTAAACCTGTGTGCCGCCACACCCAGCTCTTGTGGTTTTTTTGTTGTTTGTTTGTTTGTTTGTTGTAGCTTAGTCTGGCCTTATTTACCCATCTCACACCTGGCCTTGATCCCCTATTCTTCCTGCCTCCACCTACCTCCCAGCTGCTGGAATTGCAAGCCTTGAGTGACCACATCCTACCTTCCCTCCTCATTCAGAAAGTTTTTTCCCACACTCTCCCCTATGGCAAGTTTACTCAGCTTTCAGCCTCCAGATGATATCTGCAGTGTTGTGGCCCCCCACCCACCCTACTCTCCGGACAGTTTCATGTAGCCCAGGCTAGTCTGGAACTTGCTATATAGGTGAGAATAACCTTAATTCCTAATCCTCTGGCCTCCACCCCTTGAGTGAGTCCTGGGATTACTAGGCATGTACCACCATGCCCCAGTTTACAGTTCCCTTCCTTGCACCAGCTCCGTGTGTTCTCCCTGATCACTGGGCTAGGTGCTGGAAATAGTTTTGCATCTCTAACAAGCGGTTGCCAGTCAGACTGTGAGGAAATCAAGGTGTGAAGAGTTGAGCTCACTCAGTTGGGGAAGGGTAATGCTGGGATTCCGACTCAGTTGCCTTAAACGTGACCCTATAGTGTGCCTCTCCTTGTGTCTGTCACCTCTTCCTTCCTGTTAGTAAGGTGAGGGCAGAGACCATGTCCGTCTTATTTAGCACTGATCCCAGCCCTTAGGATAGATAGGCTGGCACTCAGTAGGCCTTTGCTGTTGAGTGAAACAACATCCACAGTGGCTCTCTCCTGCATCTGCAGTGGCTCTTTTGTGTTTTCTCATAGAATCTTCTCAATAATAACAGGAAACTGAGTCCCAAAGACATGGAGCCACTTGTTTGTCCAGGGTCATACAAGTACCAGAGAGGAACCTAGTTCAGATCCTGACCCCTTGGTGCAAGTTCAGCTTCATTTCTAAATTCAATGATATGGTTGAGGAAAGGTTGGTAAATGATTTTTTGGTCTCCAGGAGTGGCCTCAAATTTTTACTGGCCCATTCTGCCATCCAGCTCAGTGGTGGGGACATCAAAGCTTCCCAGTGCTACCTGCAAAGTACCTTTGTGAAATAAGTGCAGAATTTTTGGGGTTTTTTTCTCATTGCTGAGGATTGAGCCCAGCCCTTGAGCATCTAGGGAACCACTCTACCACTGAGGTATATTCCCAAGCATATGTGTAGAAACTCTTGATTTCAGGACATAGTCCTATCTCTTTCAACTTTCTTTGCTTTCCTTCTTAATTGTCAGAGTGAATGAATGGATGATCGGCCATGTGTGTGAGGATGGGGACAGAAATTGGAGAGCCCCACCCTCCCACCACACACACATACACACACACACACACACACACACACACACAGGGATTGGAGTGTTTGTATGTCCCAGGTTTATGTGCATGCGTGTGTGCGTGTGTCCTTTTTATATGTATCAAAGCTCATCCTGAATAGTGAACTCTCTTGCAAAGAAGGATCTATTTTTGCATGTGTCTTTCATGCCTTTGTCCACCAGTTGAGCACACACATGCACACACATGCACACAGGGATTGGAGGCGTGTGCTCAGCACAAGGCTGCAGTCAGTTTTGCTTAAGGACTCTAGTCAGTTGATCTGGCAGAAAGCTTGTAGGATGGTGAGTCATCTGAGGTGACAGGGCTTGCTCAAGTCTCTAGTGACCCTTGACTCAGGTGGCCAGAGTCAAGCTTTCCAGCTGGTCCTTACAAAGAGGCTGAGTCACTTGCCCTGAGGTTCTTAGTGATAGAGCCAATGAGGCCAGGAATCTAAGATCACTGCCTGCTTGCCAGGTGGCCTTGCAGTGGTATAAGCAAGGAGGGACAGGGAGGAGTGGATGGTTCTGTCCACATGGCCCACCTGCAGAAGGAAGACCATGTCCCCTTCTAGGAACCATGTGGGTGCTGGTCACATGATTTGGACAACTGCCTCAACAGATGGCTTTAGTATTTCCAGTTTTACAAATGAAAAGGCAGAAACCCAGGGACATTAAGAAAGCATCCTGCTTGGTGCTGTGTGGCAAGCAGTGGTCAAGTACAGATCTGCATATCCCAGTGTGCCCTGAGATGGCACAGATGGGTGAGCTGGGGACTGCTGAGGGTAGGCTCAGGTGGGAGAGGAGACCAAGTGTGTTCCATTCGGGTAGTTCTGCTGTAAAGTACTATATTGGGAGTTGGGACCAGGGCAGAGAACATGCCTTTCTGACCCTCACAGTTCCAGCCTGGACAACAACAGTTGACATTGTAAGGTGCCTACTGTGGACCAGGCCTATTCTGAAAGGCTGCCGTCCTTCCTTCACACATTGGCCCCCTATGCACTAGCGCCTCACTTTATACATGACAAAAATGCCCAAAGTCACAGGGCTAGGAAGTGGCAAAAAGCAAGACTTGAACCCTGAAAGTTTTTCTTATTTATATATTTATCTGTATGGTGTCCCAGTAGATGGCTGATCCTGGTCTGAAATTCCCAGTCCTCTTGCCTCAGCCTCCTGAGTGCTAGGTCAGAGGTGTGTGCCACTATGTCCAGCCAGGAGCAGAGCTGCACTTTTTTTTAACAGGGTCTCACATAACCCAGTTGGCCTTGAACTTACTATGTAGCTGTGTATGACCTTGTTATGCCTGCCTGTTTCTACCTCCTGAGTGCTCCTTGATCTCATAGAGATCCTGCCTCTGCCTCCCAAGCCTTGATAACATCTTTCTAGAGGCCACACAGCCCCCTCCCCCAAGAACCCTCATATCCTAGCCAGAATCTCAGGGTGGAGGTCCAGAGGGCAGGGGCAGGAGCAGGGACACGTGGTAGGGGGGCTCCTCTGCACAGGCAGAAGTCTGTCCAGTCACCTGGGTTCACAGCCCCAGGAGGGCATGGCAAAGAACATATTTGAAATATTCTGGCCTGAATCTCTGGGCTTACCCAAACATGCAGAAGCCTGCTTGCTGCCTGGTGGGACTTAGGGCATTCCAAAAGTCTGCCCCTACTTCCACCCCCATGAGGAAGGCTCTCTGTTCTCATTCTTCAACCATGGACTGTGCAGGCTCTTACACTGTGTGATTCTGGCTAACTTGCTAAACCTGTCTGATTTTGAATTGCCCTTCTATGAATCCAAATAGGCTGCACCATGCCCGTTTGTTCACAAAGGAATCTGACAACATGCACAGGTCAGGGCTCTGATTTTCATAGTTGCATCCATATAGAGGCTGGGGAGAGTCTGTGTTCTGCTGTCCTGGGATCATGTGATGCCCATTTGTTTGAGCTTTCATTGATCCAACAAATGCTAACTGCATGGGGCCTTTGGGGAAGGCATATCGAATCAGATATAAGCCCTGCCTAAGGGGAACTTAAAGGAGACTGGGCAAGCAAGCAGGTCTTCCAAAAGAGTGTCAGGGAAGGCTGAGGCAGGAGGATGGCAAGTTCAAGGTTTGCCTAGTTTACAGAGTGAGTTCAAGACTAGCCTAGGTAACTTAGCAAGACCCTTACAAAATAAAAACTAAAACTGAATTGAAAGGAAGCTAGGTGTAGTGGTACATGCCTGTAATCCCAGCCTTTGGGAGGTTGAAGATCAGAAAGTCAATGTTCTCTTACATAATAATAATAAAAAGATGTTCAAGGTCATCTTTAGCTACATGAAGCTAGCCTGAGCTACATGAGACTGTTATAAAAAGGATGAGGAGGAATATAGCTCAGTGGCAAAGTGCTTACCTGGTACGTATGAGAACCTAGGTTCAATCCTTGGTACTGGGGGAAGAAAAAAGGATGTCAGAGAAGAGCTTGATAGGCAGAGTTGTTGTTGCCCCCAGGGGACTTCTGTATCATCAGTGTTTCCACAAGTCAAACAACTGGCTCCCAAGGGCCTCCAGGGGAAAAAAGAGATCCATCATCCAGGCAGCAGATCCCCAGAAAGGCCCCATCCTGATCACTGTCCTTCTGTATCCCTTCCCAACTCTTACACTGTGTTGCTGGTACCTGTCATTTTCCCTCTCTTCCCCTTTCCCTGGACAGCCCAGAGTCACCACAGGTGAACATGCTCACCCCCACTTGTGTGTGTGTCTCTCTCTCCTTATCTGCCTTCCTCTGTTCTAGTCCCTCCAGCCCCTTCTGTGGCCAACAGACTCCTGGGTCTGCCCACAGTAAGCTGCTGTGGAGAGAAGAGCAGAGCACTCTTCCCTGGCTATGGAGCCCTAGCTCAGCCCTCAGCTCTTCACTTTTTGAGCCAAAGTTTTCTCGATATAAAATGGGCCTATTGCTACCCTGCTCAGCCCACAGGCAGACTGTAAGATGAGAGGAGGAGTGGACGGATGGTAGATTACACCAGACAATTGCACACATGTGCCTGGGGTGGCTGTTCTAAGGGAGGGAGGAGCTGTTGAAAGCCTCAGCAAGTGGAGGTTAATGTTCAAAGATTTATCTCCCCTGGGCTGACTATAGGGAGGGGCTAGAGGTGTGCAGAAGAAACTGACCTCTCTAAACACTTGTTTTTCAGAAAATTTTTGAAGAGGCCATTTCCAGTGAGAGAGAACATAGGAAGCTTAGAAACAACTGGTCACTCCCCTGCCAGCACCTCCCTGTGGCCTGTGGGATAAAATACAAACCCCAGCTCACTCCCTATAAGGCTGAGGCTGCTTGTCCATCTCCTGCCAATCTCAGGTCGCAGCTGAACTCTTCTTCTCCGTCCTTGAGTACAAGTATGTCAGCTCATCCTGCTGAATTAGGGCCTTTGTACATACTGTTCCCTCAGCTTTGCAGATGCTTCTTTTCACTTTACACCCTTCCAGGTCTTCTCTGAGAAGTTTCATCTCCTGAGTAGTTCCCAGTGTCTTCTCTTGGTACATAGGTCTTTGAAGTGTTTACAATAATTTGTAATTCCTCATAAGTAAATGGAATATACAACCGTGCTCACCTTCTTTAGTTTTTTCAATGTGCTTACCACAGGCCATTTGCATATGTCAGAGCCTTTGTCCAGGGCACCTCACAATCCATTCAGGACCCCTCACTGAGCCCAGGGCTTAGCTCTTGTCATCTCTGCAAGAAAGCTCATCTTGTTGACTCATGACTGGCCGTGGTGGCCCACGCCTTTAATCCCAGCACTCCAGAGGTAGAGGCAGGTGGATGTCTGAGTTCGAGACCAACCTGGTCTACATAGTGAGTTCTAGGCCAGCTTGGACTACAAGGAGACCTTGTCTCAAAAAGAACAAAAAAGAAAAAGAAAGCTCATCATGCTGACTCCCAAGACAAGTACCTCTTATCTGTATCTCCACAGCCCCTGGAATTTCTCCTGGGTGAATAAACATTTCCTCCTCCTAGATTGTCAATTCCATGCTCTGCAGAGACCATGCTTGTTTTGCTGTCATGGTACTCCATGTCTAATACAGGCCTGGATCTATAGTAGTTGCTCAATACGTATCTGTTGACCTGGTGAGATGGCTCACCTTGCTGTGTAAGTCTAACAACCCGAGTTCAATCCCTGGAACCCTTGGTTGAAGGAGAGTACTGACTCCCATCAGTTGTCCTCTGACCTCTACACACACACACACACACACACACACACACATACACACATACATACACACCCCATAGCACATGTGCACCCATGCCCACAGCCACACACCAATAATAAATAAAAATAAATTATATGCATATGTGAAATTGTCAAATAGCAAAATGAATCAATAAAAATGAAGCTACATTAGAAAAAAATAATTTTCTGTACTTGAAAATTTAAAAAAATTAACTGTCGCCTCAATGGCTACAGGATTTTCCACGTAGTCCACTTGTGTAGGGTGTTGCTTAGACCCAGAATAAGAAAAAAGCCACTGCCAGGTTGTAACCAGCTGCCTGGGTCTGCTAACATGGGACAGATCTGGCTTTAGTGTTTTCACACCTTCCCCAGAGCAAATCGCTTCGCCTGGACTCTCCCATCTAGGAAGGCAGGGTGGGTGGTGTTGACAGTAATAGGGTGCTGCCAACATAGGTGGCCCTGAACACTGAGTTCCTTCAGCCTAATTCCAGATGTACTCACCAAAATAAGAGCTCAACCAAAGTAAGAGTCTTTTGTGTTTTAGGAGACTTTGTTGTCTACAAAGCACTCTTGTGATTCACTCTTGTGATTGTTTTCCTGATGGGGAAAATGAGACTGAGAGGTGAGGTGACAAATCCAAGGTCACTCAGTGAGTAAGATGCATAAGGCAAAGCCAGAATGTAGGTCCCTTGAAGTCAACCAAAATTCTGGAAGCACTTACACAAGGAGATGTGGTAACTAGCAAAGATTCTAAGACCCTGGCCTTCCTAGTGACCTGCTTCTTTTGTTCTTCTCTTTCATTCATTCATTCATTCGTTCATTCGTTCAACACAAGTTCCAAATACTGCCTTCAAGGAGACCACAATTTTGTACTGGCATTGAATTCAACTAAGGCCTGGGAATGATCCAAGGATATTACATATACCTTCAAAAAATACACAGGGTAGGCAGGAATGGTGGTACACACCTTTAATCCCAGCACTCAGGAGGCAGAGGAAGGCAGATCTCTATGAGTT